AACCAGAGTCACGGAACGAATTAAGTTTGTAAACCGAGGTTCCACTGTATAATCTTTGTTATTAGTTGTTTTTTAAAATGTTGTATTGTTATTGATACTTTCCTTAGTTGTTGTTTTTTTATTTTTCTGGAAAAAGAAAGGAAAATATGACAACAGTAGGGAGCTGGATACTACCTTCTGCCAAGTCTGTCCATTTATGACCACTCAAACACCATTCTGTAAATTTGTGTGGTACAGCAGTAATCTTATTAATTTCATTAATGAATATAATATACATTTACAAATATAATTGTAATAATTTTAATAAAATATTCTCACTTCTACATATTGGCACTCCCTCTGTTTGCTGTGGGCAAGGAATATTTAGTTAATACTTTCCTACAAGTCAGTCATCAACATTGTCAAGCTCATGAAACAAGCAAGAAATGTAAGACCTTGTTGTGGGAGACAGCACATCAGGCTGCCTTATGAGCTTCAAAAGCTTCTTCACCTCCTGAGATAGTTTCTATCTTTTCTCATCCTCTGCCTATTATGGCCCAAGTGTCAGCTGCTCTTTGGTACCAACTGCTCAGTTTCTTCCTGTAGTGCCTGTAGTGTTGAATATGTCTGGGAATTAGTTCCATTAACTCTGGGGGGTAATCTCTAACTTTTTCAAAGGAAGGCTGAAAAGAAGAAAGCACAGAAACACAGAAACCACATATAGAGTTGTAATCCTGCCCTGAAAATAAGAAAAATGCCACCATTCTTCTTCTAAGAGGGTTTCTCCAACTCCTTTGATACCTGCCCAATCTATGCTTGGTATATCTCTGCTACACTGCACTTGACTCCCTGGTTCTAAGGCTGAGGTATGAATATGTCCCTGCTTCAGTACAGCAGCTTTCAGGAATGAATCTTCCAGACTAAGGATCTGTATCAAAAGAGAAAGTAAATCCCAACATAGTTTTAGTCCTATGTGGAGCCATTATTGTGATAATTGATCAAAAGCAAATTGTCCTTCAGTCTCCAATTGAGCAGTGTGCTTCCCAAACCCACTCATTCTTATTTTTCAACAGAAAATGGTACAGTATTTTCTTTCCATGTATGGCAGATAATATTTTATAAACCAAATATTGCTTGCCTGGGGAAATACGAATGACCTATAGTGTAGCTTTAAAGCCTTTGCTTTTTAATGTTTTTCTCACAGCATTTTCAAGAGTAGGTTTCTTCATCCAATACAAGTACAGTATGTTTTTGAGATTATACAGTCTGTCCAACCAGGTAAAATCCTGGTAGTTCACTTGTTATTTAACAATAAACAATAAACAAATACTTTGGTAAGTCAGTTTAAGTAAAGCTATTTATAATGCTACAGATAATGAGAAGGAGGATATTATATATAGTACTGTTAACTTCCAGAGTATTTTTTAAAAAATACACACACACACACGGAAAAAATGTGTTAAAGATTAAGTCATTGATTATGTACTTTATGAGAAAATTTATGTAACATAAAATGTATTGAGTTGTTGGGAAAAAAATGTATTGATTAATATTACATGTAACTTTACCGGGGGGGGGGGGACTTACATTTCCCTCTTGTTAAATTAAGTTATAGAAATCCTTCTGGGTGCCTTTCCTTTGAAATTAAACAACAAGGGGAAAAGAAAAA